TTTGGTCATGGTTTCCAGCAGGCCCTTCCAGCCTTTATTTGAAATCGAATGTTGAGCGTGCTCAATTATGATTCGTTGAGTTCATACTTTGGCTGAATCCTACTGTTTCATACGTCATACTTATACACATTCATCATAACATTACACGGAGAGAAATCTGCTGCTAATATTACTCGAAAGAGCACATTACTTAAATTGCTTAACGTTTCTCTTATATTTTTAGCATGGATTCATATACTTATTGTAAAAATACTTTCAATGCAATAAGCATAAGAGACAGTAGCTAATTTTGCACGAAATCTTTATTATAAATACAAAGAGAACGTGCTATAAAAGTATTAGATTCTTGGGCAGTCATCGATTCGCTCCCGTGAGGGGAAGTGGCATTCTCCCACCATGCGGCCAGGGGCCTGAGCTCGGGGTTCGGAGCGAACGTAGCACAGCGGGGCGCCTGGTCCCTTAATCCCTCATTAAGTCATCCTTCCTTAATGACAGTGTTTAAAAAATATAAATTTCTCAAACATAAACATTTTAAAGTTTTTTTTATTAAATTCAGATCCCTTATTTTATTACGAATCCATACATATGTTGTTTGCCTTAAAAATGTTAATATTTAAAAAAACTTTTAATTTATTATGAACTGACACTCAAATAAATTCATAGTAAATTTGACTTTCAAGTAAATATATATTTTCTCTGGCTGTATAATCTACTTTTTACTTCAGTTGAATTCTGAAAAAACTTAAGAATTACAATCAGTCAGTTAATAATAAATTTTAAACTTTTTAAATACTAAAATTTTTAAGGCAAACTACATATGTATGGATTCGTAATAAAACAAGGAATCTGAATTGAATAAAAAAAATTGAAAAATGTTTATATTTGAGAAATTTATATTTTTTAAACACTGTCATTAAGGAAGGATGGCTTAATGAGGGATTAAGGGACCGGGCGCCCCGCTGTGCTACGTTCGCTCCGAACCCCGAAGTCAGGTACAAGGCCGCATGGTGGGGGAAGGCCCCTTCCCCTCACGGGAGCAAATTGATAATCGCCCAGATTCTTCTTATAAGGGACCATTCAAGTATTACGTAAGCATTTAAGGGGGAGGGGGGGTCTAGCTATTGTTTATTTTCATTAGAAAAAATGGCGCTAATGCATATAAAAAATCTTACATGGGGGAGGGGGGGGGGTCTAAAAGCCTGAAAAATATGCTTACGTAATACTTGAATGGCCCCTAAAAATCGCTCCAACTCCGACTGATTTTCAGGCGGACTTTATACAACACAATCTTACCTGTGTATACGCACATGTCGTAGGCAAATAGAAGAATCCGTCATTTAGCTAAATGCCTAGGCGTTTAGCCTAGCGGCGCCGAATAGACGAATGGACTTGAGAAATGATTAAATTCGTCTATTTGCCTAAAAAGCTTAGGCGTTTAGTGAAATGACTAGGCAATTGTCTATTTGCCTAAAACTGTTCAGGCAATTAGAAGAAAATATCTATTACCAACAAATCGTAATGAAGAAAATGGAAAAATAAATTGAATACTTGAAAAAATAAAAATAAAAAATATTTTATAAATATAAAAGTTAAAAGTGTAAATAAATTTCGTCATAATCCATAAACAAAAGATCAAAACAAAATTACTTTAGTAACTTGAATATTCGTTAGAAAACATAATTTAATTTAGTATCTTCATACTGCTCGTACACTCGAAATATAAATTAAAATTAACGTGCAAACGCGAAATTTAATTGAAATCTTGATTTTTTTCTCATATAAAATGAGTGTAAATCGAAGTGATTTTGAAGAAAAATTAAAAATATTGTACTCCGAGCAAAAATGTAACAGAACAATATGGAATAAAAAACGGCTACTCGAAGTTATTCAAGTATTGTCAGAATTCGAAGGAGTGAAATCGACGAAAAGTGGTGCATATTATCATTGTTTTAAATTATATGAACTCGTAAGACTTGGTGGTGAGAACCATGTAATTTTAAAAAGAAAAAACGAAAACGATCCGTTAATTTATGTTTTGTCAATTGAGGATTATTTTGAAAAATTAGAGGAGGCTCACACTCAAACTGGACACGGTGGAAGGGACAGGATGATTTATTACATAAAAAATAAATGGAGAATTTCGCTAGCTACGATTTGTTGGTAATAGATATTTTCTTCTAATTGCCTGAACAGTTTTAGGCAAATAGACAATTGCCTAGTCATTTCGCTAAACGCCTAAGCTTTTTAGGCAAATAGACGAATTTAATCATTTCTCAAGTCCATTCGTCTATTCGGCGCCGCTAGGCTAAACGCCTAGGCATTTAGCTAAATGACGGATTCTTCTATTTGCCTACGACACACATATAACTCACACACACATATATTTCTCTCTCTCTATATTTGATATTTCTCTGTCCTGTAAAACATTATAATATATTATATGTAGTATTTAATACTTGTTGCTGTTATAAAAAGATAATATTTATTTAATAGTAAGTATATTAGTTAAAAATTATTGCATTTTTATTCGTGTTTGAATGTATAAGCAACATGTGAAAATTGTTAGGTTATGTTATTGCAAACGTCACCGAGTTGTACGCGTTCCGTTTTTCGAAACCCTCGAAACGTGCTCGAAACCATAAGGTAGTTCAAGTTGGGTGGGGGAAATCCAATATGGCTGCCATCAGCTGATTTACCGGAGGACAAACAATGCATTGAATTCAATGGGACAAATCAGTTTTTTAACCATAACTTTTTAAATATTCATTTTTGAACCATAGTGTAATGGAAAATTATTCTTTATTTATCGAAATCTATTTTTTAAAACAATAAAATTTAATTTTTTGGTTTTATTGTTTTAAAAAATAGATTTCGATAAATAAAGAATAATTTTCCATTACACTATGGTTCAAAAATGAATATTTAAAAAGTTATGGTTAAAAAACTGATTTGTCCCATTGAATTCAATGCATTGTTTGTCCTCCGGTAAATCAGCTGATGTCAGCCATATTGGATTTCCCCCACCCAACTTGAACTACCTTATCCAAAAAATATATGTGTGTGTGAGTTATATGTGCGTACACGCAAGTAAGATTGTGTTGTATAAAGTCCGCCTGAAAATCAGTCGGAGTTCGAGCGATTCGTAAAGATTCTGCAAGCAATAATAGCAACAGATTTCTCTCCGTGTATGATTCAAATAATTATCATATATATATATATGATATATATATATATGATATATATATATATATATATATATATATATATATATATATATATATATATATATATATATATATATATATATATATATATACACACATACATCCCAATAATAATATCTATATTTATAATAATTATATTTACACCTGTACATGGCACACATACGTGTTACAAATATAGCAAATATTATATAGAATTATACCTATAGTTGATGGTCATGATAGTTATAACAAATTAATTGTTTAACTATAAATCTTGAATGTAGTTTATTTACAAATTAATTCATTATTAATTATATTGGAATTTAATTAAAAGAAGGAAGCAGTTCGGTTAAAATAAAGTAGAATCAAATATAATATTAAAGTCAAAATGTATTTAAGAAATACGTCTTTACAAATCGAGAGCCGGCAAGGGACTAAAAAAGATAGTGTCAAATACACTATGGTCCACATGACTACATGAGCTGGGCCGTATCGATATCATATAAACAAAGTTAAGAAGGTGCACGTGGCACATAATATATGAATATCTACATTACTACATATATAGTTAAATAATATTAAATTATTTTGCATATTTCAATAAATTATATTATAATAATTGATTAGATGTTAGATTGATGGAAATAATGAAATATACAAATTACGATTATTTATAAAAAGTAGTTGAGCGATTAACAATTCTAAAAAGTAATGAAAACTGGGTTTTTCCAGTACGTGACAATTTTAAAGTTAAAAGGATAGAAAGTTTTTAGGTGTGCAATTTCGGTAGTATTACCTGAACAAAGGATATGGTCTATAAAAGTAAGCTGTTCTGATTTTATGACTTCTTAAAGGAGTATACTTTTTGGGTATTTTACAATTGTACCTAGTGTTAGAAAAACAGATTGGTTTGGAAGGAAATCGAAGAGTTTAGATTTTATTAAAAACATGTGTTTCTTAATCCAGATTATCTTTATGATGTTTTAGAAATGTTTTGAGTTTCTTAGAAGTTGAATTATTCATTCTTTAAGATATTTGAAATAACATCTGTTAAAATATGAAAATATTTTTGGGTACTTTATTTTATTATTCTTTAGTCATTCTCAGTCTCAGGTTTATATTTCGAAATATGTATTTTACATAGAGATAATATAAATAGAGTGGGGATGGTTTGCATGTATGCGTCCGCTTGATAGAAAGAGAAAGAAGATTTAGCACCAGTGGTGTCTCTCTTGCGCTGGAGCTCATTGAAGGACAGATACTGGTGTTAAATCTTCTTTCTCCCTCCAACCCATTCTGTTTATGGCAGGACACTTCCCCCACACGCTGCCGCCTATACCTTCCCCACTCTATTTATATTTATAATATCTCTATGGTATTTTATACTTTTGTTTTAATAATTTGATTTAGCCGCGACTTAAAAATCGCGATTCGATTAATCTCGAAATGTGATTCGAGCGAGATAGTAGTCGCTCGTCACAGCTCGCATTCTTCACACCTGCGCAATGCATTGGACAGTTTTTGAAAGTGCGCCTTAAGTTTTCGAGAATTTACCAACAACACCATCTGCGTTTTTAAACGAACCAACTGTGAAAGTGAATTAATCGTTAGAATATCAACAAATCCTCTGCATTCATTGATATATTTTATTGTCATTTATAAAAGTTTGCGAAATTTATTTATTACATTAATTAATTAAAAATTGAACTAACATTGGAAAAATAAGTTTTACATTTTCAGCAAATATTATTGGTTGAAATGACGACGCATGCGCACATCTAATGCCGTGAAAAAATTGTCCATTAGAGCATATGACGCCGTTACTAGAACTGTACACTTTTATTGACATAAGATTTTGTCAGTAATTTGTTTGATTTTAATAATTTTCAAGTGTTTTATTTATAATCAAAATTTAAACGAGTTGAATTTGTATCATTTCACTTTAAACTCTTACAAACGACTGTTGTCTTTAAAGAATCGTAAAATTCACCTTCAATTTTTGATGTGCAAGCATTGAAGTCCACTTGATTTCAATCGTTAGTCTTTAATAATTAACACATTTTTCATCCATTTTCCCAATTATATTTAAAAACAAAAATGAGTGAGGAACAAATAAAGGAACCTACACAAAATGTTGAGGTAAGTCGTTAATATAATAAATAATTATTAAAAAAAGAGATTATAAAAAATTTACTAACTGGAAATTACAGTGCATTGTTTATTTGAAAGGAAATTTTTCATTTGTTATTTTATTACTGTTGTTCTAATTGATTTCTAATAAAAACAATTTAACATGTATACGTTAAAATTGAGAGAGTTTCTCCTCTAGTTTGACTTAGAAATTAAGCCAAATGAATGAATCAGCAGGTTAGAACTTGCTTTGTAATTTCTATGAGAAAATTAGAATGACAATGAATGTATAAATCTTATGTTGGCTTTATATATTATAATATGGAAAAAAGAATTTTTTTGTTCCTTCTAATAAATTTGGTTTATTGAAAATTAATTCAGGAATAATTAATTTTAATATAAAAATTTAGATAAATAGTGAATGTAAATAATTAGTCGAGAATATTCTATATTTATAAGTATCCTTGATTTTTATTTTGTTTCTAGATGTCGTCTAATGATATTGAGAAAATCGAGGAGGCGAAATTGAAAGCGAAATTTCCCAATGGTTTACACAAACCAATTGGTGGACATTCGGCTTTTCTTCAAAAACGATTAGCCAAAGGGGTGAGTTCAAAATTATTTTAGTTTTTTAATTTTATTAATTAATAACTACAGGCTTTGCACTCATCTACTAAAACCTATTTACTACTTTTTTTGAGAATTTCCACTACTTTAAATCATAATAGTTAAATAAAGAAAAATAATTGAAATAAAAAAATTAATATTCGTTTCCTTAAAAATAATCATAAATTCTGTAATTTTTTATTAAATTATTTCCACAAATAATGAAATTCTTCGCTGAACTTCAATTATTCTCAAAACTTTAATAAAAAAATTCCTCAAAGACTGAAATATTTTGAAAAAAATTCAATTATTTTTACAAATACTAAAATATTTCCCAGGAATTCAATTATTTAATAAAATTTTTTTACCAAAAAAACTCAATTCTTTTCATAAATAGTAAAATCAACCTAAAGAATTTAAATACATTTTTTAATGCCATTTTTATTTAAATTTCTTCAAATAACTCAATTTTTTCTTTAATAATAGAATTTTTCTCAGGAGTTCATTTATTTTTAATATCTATTTTAATCGAAGTTTTTCAAAACAATTCAATTATTTAGAACAATTTTAATAAAAATAACCAAAAGAAATCAATTACGACAAAATTCGTTTATACGATTTCAATTCTATTCACTACAATTGTAATTAAATTCCTCGAAAGAATTCAATTATTTTCAAAATTTTAATAAAAAATTCTTTAAAAAATTAAATTATTATTAAAATTTTTAATAAAATACTTTACAAGAATTTAATTATTTAAAAAAATGTAATACAATTTTTTGCACAAATTCTATTGTTTTCATAAATAATAAAATTCATCGAGAGAATTCAATTATTTTTACAAATATTAAAATATTAGCAATTTTTTAATACTTCTTTTTAGTCTTAAAGTTACATTTTGCTACCAATTTAAAAATATATTTTGCGAAGCCTATAATTAATATGAATTAATTTTAAAGTTACTTATTAATTTAGAAAAAGTAGAGAAAATAATTGTTTTGATTTTCAATCTATTTTTTTGTTTTCTTTTCAGCAAAAGTATTTTGACTCTGGAGATTATCAAATGGCAAAACAAAAGACAGCAAAACCAAAACCCGCTGGAGTTTTGCCAACCGGAGACGCCATACCAACACCTGAATCCGTACCACAAAGAAAAACATCAATTATTCAACAGAAATTCAATACGTCGACGACCTCTTAAAGTCTCCATTTTCTTTTTCTATTTGTTTATGATTAGGATTCTTTTTTTTTTGTTACAAATTGATGCCCGGTGTGTTAAGAAGATTTTTGGAAAGGTACGACTTGATCAACGTATGATTTAAAGGCATGTGGGTATTCTTTTTTTTATATAAAACTCATAATACGCTTCTCGACTTTTTTTTCCTTTTTTTTCTTCTTGTCTCTTTATTACCTGAATATAATGTCATTAAATTCTGAAAATTTACTTTAGAAAATTTTAGATGTAATATATTATGAGTACTTTTTATTTTTTTGGGAATATTTGTTTTTCATGTTTTTCTTTGATTAAAAAAATTTCTCGTGTACGATTGATGATAAATGCAATCTTAGGAATGCATGAAAGTTTACTTAATCCCATTATAATTGTATAATACATAAAATTAATAATTTATGCAGCAGATTTGCGTATAATGAATTTCTTGTGATAAACTATATACATAATAAAAAAAAATGAAAAATTATCGCGGAAATTTTAGAATGATATAATTAAATTTGCTGCCTTTAAACTAGTATTTTTTTTTTAATATAAAAAAAGGGAAATAGTAAACAATGATTTTTTTCTCTTGATTATAATGTCGCTCTTTATTTATATAATCTTTTTGTTTTTTCACTTTCTACTTTGAATTTCTTTTCAATTTGTAAATTTTTGTGTAAAAAAAAATTAATTGTTTACCAACAAATAATTCAATTATACTGTAATATTCTTTGTAAATTCAACAGCGAATAAACTTAAGATATTTCACAAATCTGCATTTTAAAAAGTTGTTGCGATGCGATTAGTGAAATTATTTTTTTATAAAAAATTAGAAAGTTGAAAAATTTAACGAAAGCAATAAAAAAAAAGTAATTAAAGTGAAATGTTTTCATGAAAATCCTTTCGATTATTTCTTTAGGTTAAAAAAAGTTTGCAAAAGTTTTATGCAAAAAAAAAGTATTTTTTTTTTTTAAAGAAAGGGGTTGGAAATAAAATACGGAATATTAACAAGAAAATTTAATTATATATATGAACATTACATATGTACATTACTATTTGCAATGGAGCATTTCGTAAAAAGCTAGCGAGATAAATTTTTGATTGACTTTTATACACACATAATTATTATTGTCATTCAAAAAATAATTTTTTTTCCACATATTTCGATTGATGAAAATTTTGAAAATTAATTTCAGCATCAATTTTTTCAAAAAATGTTGCTCCATATAGAATAAAAAGTACATTAATTGGCCTTTTGTCATTATTGACTATTTTTTTTAAATTTTGACTAATAAACGTTATTTATGCCCATAAAAACGCTGTCGTTAAAGAGAAAAGAACAAAAAAATGAACTATTTCGCGACTTGTTTATCCTTCAATAATGATATGTGGTCGACGACAGTAAAAATCCTTTAAATTGGACCCTTAACATTAATTTCGAATTGTCATTACACGCAATTTTTTTTCTTCTATATAAAAATGCAATTCTTTTTTTTTGGAAATGCAGCGAGTATAAAAAGTATTTGAAATTATCCTAAAACTATTTATTTATTTATTAATAAAAGCTTTTCAACATAAACACAACTTTTCGTATAGAATTTTTTTAGCTTCATCTAATTGCGTTTTTGTACAACGAAATTATTTTTAAGTACAAAATTCGCAAATACATATCATATACATATTGCAAAAGCTTTCTCTCTATAATTTAAATTGTTCGTCGATCACAGTTTTCATTTGAAAGAATAATATCAATAATAATTAATCCTCAACCTTAAATCTTATTATACGCTGCTTTTTCTTTAAATTTATATCCCAGAAAAAATTGTGCAATTTCTATAAATTCAAATACTGCATGATTTTTTTTTTTTTTTTTTGAGTTTTTGACTCTTGCGTCAATGAAAAATTGTTTCAAGAGATTTTTTAAAATCTCATCGTCAACAAGGCACTTTTGTTGAAATGAATTTTTACTTTATTAGTAGTATTATTAAAAAACTGGACTTTTTTCAAAAAAAGCAGTTGCTTTTTCATCGACGATTTAGCAAATAGAAAAGCCTTGTTTAAAATAATTTTTTTTAGAAAAAAAATAGTTTTTCACGAAAAAAAATAATTATTTACAAAATTTAAAACAAGGTTTTTCTTAATGAACTATAATTTATGGATTTTTTATACAAAGAAAACATTCATTTATCATGAGTATTTGAAATACCATGCAACGTGAAATCTCGGACAATTTCTTTTTTTAAATAAATTTTAAATTAAATAATTTTTTTTTTTTTTGATAAAATAAAATCTCAAATCATTAAATAAATTTAATTTCAATTATTATAAGTTAAAAAAAATATACAATATATATAAAGTATAAGTTCCTTGATTTTTCGTTGGATTCTGTAAAAACTACATTATTGGCTTATTTCGATTTTTCCATAAATTACTTTTTCTCCTTTGCAGTGAATGTTGAAATTATTTTTAGCTCTCTGTGTTTGTTCACAAAATTTGTTAATTATTTCATATTTTTCAAAGAGGAAAATAGCTATAATTATATTAAAATAAAATAAGTTAATTTATTAATTTAGATTAAAAAATTGATTTATTAATTTAAATAAAATAAGTTAATTTATTAATTTAGATTAAAAAATTGATTTATTAATTTAAATAAAAAAATTGATTGAACTAATTTAAATTAAAAAATTGATTAATTAATAAATTTAAATTAAGAAAATTAAATAGAAAATCATGAAATTCGTGTAAAGGTTTCGTAAAAATTATTTTTAACTCAAATAAATAAAACGTATGTAAAATAATACTACATACTTAGTAGAGAAGCAAAGCTAAATTTTAACAATCACTGCAAAAGAATACAGTAATGCAGGGAGTTATCGATTTACATTCACATTTATAAAATTGCATTTCATATACTTCGAAGCTAGACTAGAGCCATGTCTTAAAAAAAGGGTTTTAAAATCACTACAAAATATGTGATTTTCCTTAAAAACAAAAACAAAAAAAAACACAAAACAAAAAGAAAAGAAGAATTCTTACTAAATGAAAAAATAAATTTTACTGGAACCCGGCAAATATTTTTTATATATCTATTACTTGATTTTATCAATTTTCAAATTTATCCGTTTTTTTAAAGAATAATAAAATTGAATTAATTATACATTTCTTCTATCAAATTTGAATAGATTTTTTGAACTATATTTCGTCTGACTTTCAACGTTGGCCCTAATTCACCAGTTGGAACGGAAAAATCGTGTGGTAATAATTGGAATTTTTGCACTTTCTGAGCATTACTCGTCGCTTTTTCATTGGCTCTTTCTATAGCTTTTTCTATTTCTTTGAATACCTGTAAAATGATAATAACATAATATTATAAATTAAAAGTAATAAAAAATAAATTAAAAAAATAAATAATAATATTATTAATAGAAATAAAAAAAATTTTTTTTATAGCTAAAAAAGATAAGTGATTCTCTTACCAGTGGATCACGAGTTTCTAATATATTTGAAAGCGTTGTTGCTTTACTTCCGATTGATTTAAGCCACGCTTTTGTATCAGGCAACAATGTGTCTAGAGGTTCTCCTGTGTCAACATTCATTTCAGTCTAGAAGAAAGAAGAACATCTTTAATTCAAGAAGATATGAAAATCACGTCTATCTGTTATTTTTTATTTCAAAAACAAATATTGTTCGAAGGCTCATTAATAAACAACAATAAAAATGGATTAAAGACAAATATTTAACTAATTTAATGAATTTTTATTTATTAGGTTAGTTCCTCAAAAATCCGCTGATATGAGACAAGTGGCGCCAAAAATTGGACCCTTTTTTGGCGCCACTTGTCTTATATTAGCGGATTTTTGAAGAACTAAAGTCTAATTTTAAATTATTATTTTATTTATCTTTTTTTTATTTATTAGTTAAAATATTAGTTTATTTATTTATATTATTAGTTAAAATAAACCTTACAACAATAAAAATGGTTAAAAAGCGAATATTTAATTATTTTACATAATTATTTATTTATTAGGTTAGTTCCTAAAATATCCGCTGATATGAGACAAGTGGCGCCAAAAATTGGACCCTTTTTTTGGCGCCACTTGTCTTATATTAGCGGATTTTTGAAGAACTAAAGTCCAATTTTCAAATATTATTTTATTTATCTTTTTTGTATTTATTAGTTAAAATGTTAGTTTATTTATTTATATTACTATTTAAAATAAGCCCTACAACAATAAAAATGGTTAAAAAGCGAATATTTAATTATTTTACATAATTATTTATTTATTAGGTTAGTTCCGAAAATATCCGCTGATATGAGACAAGTGGCGCCAAAAATTGGACCCTTTTTTTGGCGCCACTTGTCTTATATTAGCGGATTTTTGAGGAACTAAAGTCTAATTTTCAATTATTATTTTATTTATCTTTTTTGTATTTATTAGTTAAAATATAAGTTTATTTATTTATTTTATTAGTTAAAATAAAACTTTATACAATAAAATTAATTAAAAGACGACTATTTAAGCAATTTAATGAATTATTTATTTATTAGCTTAGTTGAGAAAATATCCGCTGATATGAGACAAGTGGCGCCGAAAATTGGACCCTTTTTTTGGCGCCACTTGTCTTATATTAGCGGATTTTTGAGGAACTAAAGTCCAATTTTCAAATATTATTTTATTTATCTTTTTTGTATTTATTAGTTAAAATGTTAGTTTATTTATTTATATTACTATTTAAAATAAGCCCTACAACAATAAAAATGGTTAAAAAGCGAATATTTAATTATTTTACATAATTATTTATTTATTAGGTTAGTTCCGAAAATATCCGCTAATATGAGACAAGTGGCGCCAAAAATTGGACCCTTTTTTTGGCGCCACTTGTCTTATATTAGCGGATTTTTGAGGAACTAAAGTCTAATTTTCAATTATTATTTTATTTATCTTTTTTGTATTTATTAGTTAAAATATAAGTTTATTTATTTATTTTATTAGTTAAAATAAAACTTTATACAATAAAATTAATTAAAAGACGACTATTTAAGCAATTTAATGAATTATTTATTTATTAGCTTAGTTGAGAAAATATCCGCTGATATGAGACAAGTGGCGCCGAAAATTGGACCCTTTTTTGGCGCCACTTGTCTCATATTAGCGGATTTTTTAAGAACTAAACTCTATTTTTTAATTGTTATAATAATTTATTTATCTTTTTTGTATTTTTTAGTTGAAATATACGTTTAAAATTTATATTATTAGTTAAAATAAAAATTTCTACAATAAAAATAATTAAAAAAAAAATGAATAAAAAAAAATAGAAAGTTTAATAATTTTTTTAGTTCTTTAATTTTTTGCAGCATTATTTGAATATATTCTTGCATTTCAATCTTCTTATTTTGCGATGAGAATAAAAATTGTACCTTTAACGTGACTAGAATTGTCAGGTATTTTCTTCTGTCACCAATTAACATGGCATTACTCAACGCTGGTAATTCGGCTAGCACTAAATGTTCAATGTGAATTGGAGGCACATTCTCACCACCAGCAGTTATTATAAGTTCCTTTATTCTCCCTGTGACATAGAGGAATCCATTGCCATCTATTCTTCCCAAATCGCCACTGTGTAACCATCCTTTTTCATCCTTTGCCTCTCGTGTCTTCTCAGCATCGTTTAAGTACCCCATGAATACATGACGACCGCCCATGCAAATTTCTCCTTCGCCAGTATTATCTAAATTATCTAGTTTCGTCTTAAATGTCTTGAGAGTGGGACCAACACTTCCCAATCTGAAAAACATCATCAACCAATTAGAAAAGCTATTTTTATTATTTTCTAATTTTCCTTTCTGTTTCTTATTCTACTTTCAATTTTTGACTGATTACAGATTCAAAATTTAAAGAATTCACTTATTATAAGTACATAATATTAAAATATTCTTGTCTATTATTATTTAAAAATTGTAATAAAATTTGTTGCAAGAATTTCATTATTCTCATAAATAATTAAATTCTTTTGAATAATTCAATTACCTATTTCCAATACAATTTTAATAAAATTTCTCGATAGAATACAATATTTTTAAAAATATTATTTAAATTTAATTATTTTCAAGAGTTATTTTTATATAGGTAGAATTCGAAAGTATCCAAAATTATTTTCCAATCGTTTCTAATAGTAATTATCGTTAATAAATTTTTGTTCATTTCCCAAATTAAATAGGTAAGCATAAGGAAAACATTCAAGAGAAAAAGTATTTTTAAAAAATGAATATTTACCTATAACGATCGTTGAGACTCAAGGCGTGAGCGCCGCTTGACTCGGACATTCCGTAAGCTTCGAGAATTGGAATATCGAGGCTCATAAAGTACTTTTTCACTTCGTTGCCAAGAGGTGCGGCAGCGGTGACAAAAAGATTGCATCTATCAAAGCCCAATGCCGCCTTCACCTTATTGAAGACAAGCCATTTGGCGAATAAATAGCCCCAGTGTCTGTAATCGACACCATTCATTTTGTTCATATTGTAAAAAAGTCCCTGTGATTTTGCCCAGCCTGCAATCCAACTTTTTATCGGACCATTATTGCGAGCGACCAATTGCATTTTCTCGTAAATCTTTTCCCACACTCTTGGAACGCCGAGGAAAATTGTAGGCCGCGCTTCCACCAAAGTATTCACTAAACTGCCCTTTAGGGCATTTTTGTCGGCGAAATACACTGTAGCACCGATCATCATACTTGAGAAAATGTCCACCAACTAAAAAAAAAATATTAATTGTATTTTTTCGAATTAAATTCATAATTTTTAGAATTTAAATGAGTAACTTTTACTTATTCAAAACTTTTTAAAATTCAACAACTTATAAGAATATTCATTTATTCAAATATTTCTAAAATTCAACAACTTATAAGAATATTATTATAAAACATAAAAATTATTATCACCATTTCCATTCAATTCTTATTTTCTACAATTTTTAACTAAAATTCTTCTTTAAATCAATTATTTTCAATCATTTTTGGAAAAAGTTCTTTGAGAATATTCAAAACCATTTGTTTACTTTTACGAAATTATGATTATTCGCAAATTCTCCAATTAAAAATATTAGAAAATAAAAGCTTCTAAAAATCTAAAATTTTAACTGAAATTCATTTTTAAATCAATTTTTACTAGAAATTTCTTCGATAATTCAATTATTTAAATACAAAAATAATGTATTGAATAATTGAATGTTTCTTGAAATTTCAATTCTCATAAAGAATTTTATCAACAAATTTTTAAAGAATTGAATTCTTTCGACGAATTTTAACATAATTTTCAAGAAAAATTATATTCGAGAAAATTATATTTCGAGGAATTTGATTAAAATTGTATTTGAAAATAATTGAAATTCTGCGATGAGTTTTATTATTTATAAAAATAATTGAATTCTTAAAAAGAATTTTATTATTTATGAAAATAATTGAATCTCTTTAAAAAAAATTTGATTATTTATGAAAATAATTGAAACACCGTTAAAAATTGTATTATTTATGAAAATAATTAAATTTTACGTAGAATTTTATTAAAAATTTTATTAAATAATTGAATTCTTTGGGAATATTTTATTACAATAGTTGATATTAAAAATCATTGAATTGAGGAAAAATTTTGAAAATAATTGAAATTTTTCAAGAATTTTATTAAAATTTTCGAAAATAATTAAATTTTGGAAAAGAATTTTATTATTTATAAAGATAATTTAAATTTTTACGAGAAAATCTTAAAATTTTTCAACATAATTGAATTTCTTCAATTAATTGTAACTTATCCACAATTCCATTTTATTTTGTGTTTTTAACTAAAATTCTGCAATAAATTCATTATTTAAAATAATTATTAATTAAATAAATATTAAAAATTTAACTAATTTCAGAAGAATTTGAGATATTAAAATTTTTCAAATATCTAAATTCTTTAAAATTTCTAATTAAATTTATTGAAAATTTAATGTTTCGGAAATTTCAAATTGAAACCTTTTGAAGTTCATTTATTTATGAAAATTGTTATCGCAACTCTTTTAAAATTCAATTAATTTTGAAAATATTTAAGTAAAATTATTCATTTTTATTGTATTTTTAAAAGAAGAATGAATTTTTTCTTATCATAGTTTGTTTTCATAAAAAATGTTCATTATAACATACCTGAGCTGCAACGTGAGATAAAGGCAAAAAGCTCACAATTACTTCAGAACAATTTTTTGCCTTGATAGAGTCAATAATCATCCGAGCGTCATACAAAAGATTGTCATGGCTCAACATTACAGCCTTTGGATTTCCAACTGTTCCCGACTGTGAATATAAAATTTTTTGTTAAAATATAATTACATAATGTTTGTCAATTATATTAATTTTCTTTTGTGAGCTTTAATAATTTCTTTAAAAAAAATATTTCTCCTCACTTACCGTATAAACTAAGGTACAACATTCGTTTACTCCCATAGTACGAAGAATTGATTCCAATTTATCGTCAGACTCCTTTTTTCCTATTTCGATAAGGTCGCGCCACTACAAAAAAGAAAAAAAAATTTGAATTAGTATTAAAGAAGTTTGACAAAAACTGAAAAATTAAATTAAAATTAAATTAACTAATTAAAAAGCACATCTGCAAATTTTAATTTTTGATAATATTATTATAAAAAATATTTCGTTCACTTGAACGTTCAGAATTTTTCAAACTTAAAATACTCACACTTAGTACACTTTTATCCTTGACTATTCCCTCGTATTGGATAATTGCTTTCAAATTTGGAAGGTTCTTTTTAATTTCTAAAATTTTTTCCAATTGTTTAGCGTCTTCGACTACAATTATATTTGCTCGACTACTTTCGGCACAATATTGACATGCTTCGGGGGAGTTTGTTGTGTAGATTCCTGCAGCAAACCCTCTATTCGAAAAAAAGAAAAACATTTTAATTAAAAAATTTTGTTTTTTTTAAATTTATTTATATGTATTTTTCTTTTAAATTAAAAAATTTCTTTTTCCGTTTCTTACCCAGCATAAATCGCAGCAACATCGGCTATGAACCATTGGGGACTATTAAATCCTAAAATACAAACGCTATGATGCTTTTCCAAACCTAATTTTATAAATGCTTTGGCCACTGTTCTCACTTCGTTTTCGTATTCTCTGTTTGGACAAATAAATGGTTTTCAAAAAATTGTCAAATGAAGAATTTTATCAACTATTCTACGATTACTTTTATACGAAAAAAACGAATAGAAATTGAAAACGATTTCTTTAAAAATAGTCCTGACTTTTAAATTCAATTAATTATTTACCTATTTTCCGGAATAATACAGAAAAAAGTTAAACTCTTTTAAATAGTAAACAATTTCTTTAAAAATAGTTTTGCCTTTTAAATTCAATTTATAATTAACTACCTATTGAATTAATAATTAATTACCCATTTTGCCCTTTAATTGCAATTGATAATAAATAACCTTCTTTCTCGAATAATAAATATATAAAGAAATATTTTTCTTGTTTTCTAAATTATAAAATTAGAATAATTTTGCCTTTTCAATTCGATTAATAATTTTTTACCTATTTTCAGGAATTCTAATAAAGAAAAAAATAAAGTAATAGTAAACAATTTCTTTTCAAATAGTTTTTGCCTCTAAATGTTAATAAATAGTTATTTGCCAATTTTCCGGAATAGCAGGAAAAAAAGGAAATCCTTTTTAATAGAAAAATAAATTTGCCTTTTAAATTTAATTAATTAATTGCCTATTTTCCAGAATAATAAAGAAATTCATTTAAATAGTTTTTACCTAGTTTTTAAAAATAGCTCTGACTTTTAAATTCGATTAATTATTAATTACCTACTTTCCGGAATAATACATAAAAAAAATTTAATATTTTTCGTCCTGTTTTCTAAGTTACGAAATAATAATTAGTTCTATGAAAATATTATTAACGAACTTGTATGTATAACTAATTTTTTTGCCACTCGGTTCAGGTCTCGAGACAAGAGCAGTATGCTCAGGATAAGCTCTGGCTATTCTTGTTAAAAGTCCAGGAACTGAAATAGCCTCAATTGAACTATTTTTTTCGACTTTGATTCTTGTACGTCCATCGGGTTCAGTTGTTGAATCCACTTCTGAATATAAAACTTGATCGGGACCTAAAAATAAACACCAATAATTTATTATTTTCTTCTCTTTTGAAATATTACGTAATAATAATATTTATTTAAAATACAACGATTATTAATATAAATTAATGCTAATATTAACATTTATTTAAAATTATATCAATATTAACATTTTTTTCAAATTAATATCAATATTCGATTATTTGTATATTGAATTGATTCAATATTAGATTTTATGAATTAAAAATAATTGAATAATTAATATTCAAAATTAAAAATAATATTAATATTACAAATACTACATTTTTCTAGCAAAACTTTATTTAATTTGAAAATATTTACCATCTAGTCCCGTTTCACTTGGTTTAAGATACTGATCAACATCCATGGTCATAATCTGGAAAAGAAATAAATAAATAAATCAAACAAGAAACTTGAATTGTCTAAAGAAATAAGAATTACAATACGAATATATTAAATCATTCAAATATCGAAAAAAAAGATGAATAATTAAAAGACAATTTCCAATAAATTTACAAATATATAACAGTAAACAAAATTCAAAAACAAAATTGAAATAAAAAATATGATGAAATTCAATAGTAAAATTTTACAACAAGAAAATGAATTCAAAATTTAAATAGTTCTCACCTTTTCCTTTTTCGTGAATCCATTGATGATTCCGTTAGAAATTGGCTGTATTGTAGCCATATTATCTGGAAAAAAATTATATTTATTAATATTTCGACTGGAAAAAAAATATTAACTGGAAAATTATATACATTATTGAAATATAATTATATTAAAAAATAATGTAAAATATTTATTTACATAAAAAATAGTATAAGATATTTACGTAAAAGAAATAGTACAAAATATTAACGTAAAAAATAATATAAATTATTTACGTAAAAAATAATATAAATTATTTATCTACGTAAAAAAATAATATAAATAATTTATCTAAGTAAAAAAATAAGATAAATAATAATTTATCTACGTAAAAAATAATACAAATTATTTATCTACGTAAAAAAATAATACAAAATATTTATTTACATAATAAATAATGTAAAATATTTTATCAACATAAAAAGTAATATAAACAATGTTTATTACTGAATTATTAATTAATTAATTATTATGAATTATTAAATAATTTTAAATACAACAAAAATAGTGTAAAATACTTATTTAAAAAAAATAAATAAATAAAAAACTAAACGAAGTGATAAATATTTTACAATCTTTTATTAAATCTTAAAAGAGTGCATGACATCTATTAATTTGATTATAATCATTATGCACCTTGAATTAATTAAAATTGCCTGATGTGAAATAATTTTAAATTTACATTTTTTGTCTGCATTTTAAATTTTTTTCGATTAATATCAACAATTCTCTCTTTCTCTCATTGAATTTTTTCTCGTATAAATAATTTGCAAATTATTGAAACAATACCTTCAAATCTTCTTTCAATTTGCCTTCCTGAACACTTTAATATTGCTTTCTACTGCATTATTTTTGCATACGTAATCTAATTAAATACTACTAACATGACAGTTTTCTTAAATTGCCGTAAACTATAAGAGATTAGATGACTCTGTTTCCCATTGACAAATAATAACCAATTTTTTTATAACTCATTTTGTCTGGTAACCATCATTAATTACTATGTTTCTATATATATTTATTTTTCTATTGAGACGAATAAGAAACTTGACCCTGAGAAAATAACAAAAAGAAGAACTTTGTTTTAAAAGAAAAACAAATTGTTTTCGAAAATGAAAATAAAAATTACTAATAACAAATAAATACTGAATAAAAATACAAATAAATAAAATGTAAATGAATAAAAATGTAAGTAAATAAAAATAATAAATAAATAAAAAATAAGAAACATATAAAAAATAATAAAAACAACTGAAAAAATTTATTACAAAATAATTACCTAATAATTTGTATTGTTTTATTATTATTTTTTAATTTTACTATTTTGTTAATTTGAAAAATTAATTTTATAATTTTTCACTCAAAAATCTCATAGAAAAAAAATTTAAATTACATTTCTAATTAGAAATTAGTTATTTTAAATCAATTTTTTATTTTCTATAAATAGAGAAATAGAACTCACAATGATTTGGAAATTAACTAATGAGGAAAAACTAATAAAGAAAAAAATAGAAATCAATCAAAAAATAAAGGAAAAATACGACAAAAGTCGAAAATTGTTTTCAATTTCAATTAAATTATTCATTGAACAAAATTAATCACAAATTTGTTATCAACTGCTTCATTAAAATTTAATTTAATTATAATTAACCAACTAATTTTTTAAAACTACCTATTTTTATTTGATTTCTATTTTCGATTGTATAAAATTAATTAATTCGTCAAATTCTTCGTATTTTATATTGAAAAAAAAATCAATTTTTTTCATATGATTGCGGGATAATTTTTTTTTCTTTAACTCATCAAGAAAATTTTAATAACTATCGCGTTTTGTGTGATTAAAAAAATAATTATGAAATATTCTGATTATTCAACAATTCGATTAGTATTTTATATTTTTATTATGAAAGTGGGGAGATTATGTGACAATCAATACGTGTTCATTGACCGGTGAATTATTTTCTCATATATATGAATCGGGTCAAGAGAAATATCTTTTGTGAATGATTTTGGTGGTTAAAAATGTGTCGCAGAAAAATTCTGCACTGCGCTTTAAAAATAGAATTTACAGAAAAATAATTTCTGTACAAAAAATTAAAAACAAAAAATCAAAAACCAAAAAAATTAATTCTGAAAAAAATACATAAAATGTAAAATAATAATTAATCAAAGACTTAAATTTTAAACAATTTAAAAACTCTATTGCTAATTAGTGTAACAAAAAATTTTAATTTGCTTTTTCTAAGAGATTTTTGAGTGTAGAATTAATATACAAAATTAATTTTTTAAGTTAATAAAATGGTAAAATAATAAAAAAAGAAAAAATAATAATATAAAAAAATAATTAATAAGATTGAAATAAATAAATATAATAATAAATAATAATAAAAATATTTAATGAAATGATAAATAATAAAATACAATAAAAGGTTAAAAATAATGATTAATTTCTGAATATAAAAAACAATTAATGAATTATTAATTTATTTAAAAATTATTAATCATTCTCTGTCTACATTTTTAATTGTATACCTGTCAAATTTTTTATGGCATAAAAATGTAATTAATTGTATTAATATAATTTAAGAAGAAAAGGTCGTGAAAAAATTAACTGATATTCAAAAGCTGTCTTAATAAATTCACACATTTTTCCATTATTATACCTCAAGAAATGTTCGGTCAAAGTACGAGAAGATACAAGCATTTAGTACTAATTACGCAAATGCAAATAAAGTCGCAGTATTAAAAAAAAGTACGCGAGATGTGTCTGATAATTATAATTCTTTGATAAACTATTTTTATTCATATTTTAAATTTCATTACAAAATTCTACGTAATTTTTAATTTATTTTCAAATTTCTCGCACAATAATAAATCGAAAAGAAATAAATTGCATATTCTTTTTAAATATTATATTTTTAATTATATATCTATCATTAAATGGACAATTTTGAAAGAAATTTTTTTATTTTCTTTTTAAGGGTATTTGAACCATTATTACGTCACAGCTTTAAAATAAATGCTTTGCACTAACTGTGACGTCACAATGGTTCAAATGCCCTTAAATTTCTTTTTTTATTTTTTCAAATTATTTTTTATTCGAGATATTTAATTTAATAAAATTAGTTTAAAAAATAGAAAATAACTTAATTTTCTTTTGACTTTGAATTTTTTTTCTTTAATTTGTGAATTGAATTCAAATTCAAATTCAAATTTAAATTGAAAAATTTCAAAACTCAAATTCAAATAGAAAAATTTCAAAATTCAAATTGTGAAAATATTTTTAAAAAATTACGAATATGATTTAGTCATTAATGAAAAAAAAAAATGTTCGATTACTTCGTACTGTCCAAAAAATTAATTGGTTTTTATATTCAAGAAAAACAGGGACATAAAGATAACTCTATCAAAGGAGATTTACATTTTTTAAAATCATTTAATTAAAAGAAACAAAACAAAAAAAGACATTTTGCACTTTAGAAATGGGAGTATACTCATAAAAAAATATATTTAGCGATAAGATACAATTTGAATTTTGTTCATTAAAAAAAAAGAAGAAAAACTGAAAAAAGAATGTAAATTTAATAAAAAATTTTCATTTTAATTCAAAATTAATTTTTCCCCCTTCTCAGGGGGATTTTATTTTTTTCATGATCGACAAGTTTTGAACGTTCAAATGAAAGAAAAATATTTTTTTAGTTTATATAATTTATGTATTTAATCTGAATTGCTATTTATTTAATTTTTTTTATAATGACGCAAATTTGTTATTAAAAAATATTTTGATTACTGATTAATTAATTAATAATTACTGATTTCGTTTACTTGAACGTTCCGAACTTTAGAATATTTTTTTTATTTTTAGAGTAAAATTATTGAATATATCTAATGAAATTAATTTCTATACATAAAAATCTCTGTTTTCTTTATTTTTTATTAAGAAAAAATTTCATTTCACTGACTTTATAAAATACTTATGTACAATATTTATTTCTTACAATAAGTATTTTATTTTAAATATTATTTAGACTCTGTAAGATTTTTCTCGTGTTACAAAAAAAAATAAATGATGAATAAATTGAAGTATATAATAACAATTTTAATAATTAATAATAAATCACAAAAAAAGCTAAACATTCTTTTCATTTAAAAAATTGTTTCACCCGAATCTTTAATTTCGTTATAAAATTTTCTTTAGGAAGAAATAATAAAACAAAATACTTTCTCATCTGCTAGGAAAATTGAAAATTGTCAAATATTTATAAATGATGCTTGTAAAAAATTATATTTTTTGTCACAACAATTGTTGTAATTTATTAATAAGATTCATAAGATATTAAATATTTAAACATTATATCTTGCGGCACTCCTACGACTTCAATGCCACGGTCGATGTTTTAAACGTCTTTTACTTCTTTTTTTCACATATTTTACTCTCTCAAAAATTAATGAAAAATTCATGAACAATGTTTATTTTTTTTGTCAAAAAAAAAAAAATTATTTATAAATGAAAAAAAAGGATTATTAATATTTGAAAATTAAATACCTTTATAGAGAAGAATAACCATTTTTTCGATAGTTTTAAACGAATATTATTAGTTACGACGTGAACTGTTTTTACAAAACTAGTTAGTGCTCAAAGGGAAAGAAATCAATAATATCAAAGCATCACCCCATATTCCGGCGGGTACATTCAAATTCCACATCTGTTTTGTATTTATACGATTTTCTTTTTTCTAATTTTCTTACGTATGAAAAAAAATTATAATTGATAATAGCAACAAATGTTTTTCATAATTTTACTCATGTTAAATAAATGTTTTTATTTTCAAAAATAAAATAAGTTTTTGTTTTGCATATAAATAAACAATTAAATCAACATAAAGAAACATAAATAAATATAAATGAAGAAAATATATTCTGAAAATAATTTTTTCTCGAAATATTCTTTTTAATATTATTTTTTTTTACTTCACAAATTACCAACAAAACAGTTTTCTTATTTTTTCCCCCAAAAAAAATAATATCTTATCATTTAACAAAATGATTTTTATTAAATTTCCGCAAATAGTGGAAAATCAACAAAGTCATCAAGAGTTTGTACGTTTGACTCTTATCATTAAAACAAGAAAATTACATGCAATGAATTGCATACTTGTAGAGAAAAAAATAATTTATACGTCAAACGTATTATTAAAAAAAAATCCTAAGATACGTTTTGTTTTCTTTTAAAGTTCTTATAAATAGTATGATATAAAATTAGTATTTTTTCTTCTTTTTCATTTTACAAAATGAATCCGATTTTCTATTAAAAGAAAAAAATGAAGCAAAATTTCAAAAAACAATTTTTAAACCGCACATTACGGAGCAAAAAAAAATCAAAACACAATAAAATGCTATATTATTATCATTTCGTCAGGAAAGAAGCAATTATGTAAAATTAATAGCAAAAACCATTTATTAAACAAAATGAAGACATTATGCAAATGAAAGATATTCTCCTTATTTTTAATTCAAAAACGTGAAAATAAATATAATTCTTAGATTTAATTTCTATTTATTTACTAATATTTCCTTTTATCTCCAATTTTTTTTGTAATTCAAAAATATGACTTTTGAATTTAATTTTTAATATTATTAACTAATTTTTGCTCTCTTTTTCTCTTATTTCCCTTTTAAATAATAAATAGTGAAGGGAAAAAATCGCAATAAATTGTAAAAGAAAATATTTTCAGAATACACATATAGGGAGGTTTATTCGATCAGGAAAATGATAACGGAATTATCTTGAGCTACATCAATGCGCACATAATAAACTATTAATATATAAAAAAAATTTCCTTCTATTCATTTACTTGACCTTCCTCATTTTTTTTTACTTTCTTAAATGTTTTTTATTCAAATTTAAAAAAAAAACATAAATATACAAGTCTTTTCCTTTTTTTCTTTTAATCACCTGATAATAATTTGCATTACGATGATATGAATAATATGAAAATTTCCACCTTTTGTTTAAATTTTTTC